GGTCGGGACGGCACCGCTCGGGTCGGTGAGCAGCCGTGAGGTCGGGACGGCACCGCTCGGATCGGTGAGCAGCCGTGAGGTCGGGACGGCACCGCTCGGGTCGGTGAGCAGCCGCGGGGTCGGGACGGCACCGCTCGGGTCGGTGAGCAGCCGCATCTCAGCCGGCGCAGTGTGGGGCCCGAGCCCGGCCCCCGCCTGGCCAAGAACTTCATCACCTCCCCGCGGACACCGGTGTGACAGAGTTTGATGCTGAATGACCTGAAGGGCTAGGGGTGTTCAGCGCATCGCTTGACTCCGATAGCCAGATTGGCAGGGGCGACACTATTTTCAAGTAGACGTTGTTAATGAACGTGACAGCGGTGTTTAAACTTTGCGCCACGAGCCGATTGGTTAGGGAAATTATGGGTACGGTTGAAAGGTATTGCGTTGAAAAATAGTGTATTAAGATGGAGCTTTTAGGTCTTTACTTGACTTACTGTTAAACATTTTAGTGCACTGCACTGTATTTGTATCAATCGTGGTGCGAAATGAGGGCTAAGATTTCCCTTCTTAACATCATTAAAACACGTTTGTGGCATAAAGGTAATGTCAATATCAATCATGAAAGCCAACAAACCCAAATCTCTCCATGACCAGAATTGACTGTTAGACTCTAAGCCGGTATTCAATTTTGAGTTAATATCTTACTCGTGGCCTCCTAACATTTTAATTGGTCCGAAATGAAAAAGGATTACCAACTCGCATTTATTAACTTCGCCTCATTTACCTTAAACTCATGACAAGGCCATCATCGACAGAGAGTAACATTGGAAAGCCAGAGAAATCCAGGAGGCAGCGCACATGACATTGGCTAACAGCCCCATCACTGGCATAGGCGTAGACAGTAGAGGAATATGACGCCCAATTCTGCGGAAAAGTCCGCAATTATCTGAGGGACAAACAACACTCGGTTAAGCACCGAAAGGATTGCGACCCCAGCGCAGTTGGCACTGAGCTGGGGTCGCAATCAGAGAACCCTGGTTAGAGTCCCAGCAATTCCAAGCAAAAATTTGGGCTGTGACGAGCACGTGGCTGAAAGCCAAACACCATCCAGTTTTTCTCAGGCCTCCACCATAACTGTCAACGGCGGGAGATTTCAGCGTGTCAAAATTTACTACTGAAATAGAGCGTGAGAGAGAGAGAGAGAGAAAGGGAGAGAGAGAGAGAGAGAGCGAGAGCGAGAGCGAGAGCGAGAGAGAGAGAGAGAGAGAGAGAGAGAGAGAGAGGAGAGAGAGAGATAGAGAGATAGAGAGAGAGATAGATCTATCGATAGATCGATAGATCTCTCTCTCTCTCTCTCTCTCTCTCTCTCTCTTCTCGCTCTCTCTCTCTCCGTCTCTCTCTCTCTCTCTCTCTAGAGAGAGAGAGAGAGAGAGAGAGAGAGAGAGAAGAGAGAGAGAGAAGAGAGAGGAGAGAGAGAGAGAGAGAGAGAGAGAGAGAGAGAGCGAGAGAGAGAGAGAAGAGAGAAGA